ATCAGCCTTTTGTTCAGGAAGCCTGAATTATACTGTTGTATTGTTTCTTCTTTTACAAGCAAAACACGGATTATTTGCGTTTATCTCTCCACGGGACAGCATGCTCTAATTTCTGTCGGCTTCTGTTTTTCGCCATCGCGAATTGCTCCCACTTATCCGTTCAGTGTAAAGTACGTTTGGCAAATTTAGATGACAAACAACTTAAGCAGTTTTATATGTAGTGGTTCATTCGGAATGGTTCCAACCTTCAACCACGAAATCGGTGATAATTACATTCGTCGTGAAATTTCGAGATCATCTTCAACTTCTAACAACAGATTTTTTAGTTCCCTTGAACAGTTTGAACAAAGCAGTTAAACCACGAAAACGGTTGGATGCAGGCATTACGTATAGACTCGTCAATACCAAATTTACAATAACACGGGTGCGCTTTTTATAGCAAACAACTAGAGGGGTGGATAACCAATAAGCGGGTTAGGATGGACCATGAAGTCCAGGTAAGGGTCAAGTTCGCGAACAGTTGTTTCTGAACACAGAGAGCTGGCTTGAGTCGGTTGATTGTGACTGCTTCGGCAAACCGTAAGAATCCTGGGTTAGAATGACGTAACAGGACTCTGAATGCACAAAATGGATCGATAACGTGACCGGTGGTCAGGACGTGTCTAGCAACTGAGTAAGCTGGCTGTTTACGCGTTTCAACAACATTGCCGTTTTTTGGTAAAACGGACTTCTGCACCCGTTTAGGTAGAGGTTCCTTCATTCTGGAGCTCAGGCATCTCTCGGTTCTGCCTATGTAACTTCCTCCGAAGTTATATACAAATTGGTAAATACAATGTGAAGTGGCACCGATAGGCTGACCTCCTTTGACTGAAGGCACCGGAAACTTCTGAGTCCGAGCAATAACACGGAGTTCAGCTGCATTGAAAGTTTGCTCAATCGAATTCCTCAACCGTTGTGTTGTTTGGTGCATGATATAATCAACCCCAAAAGGCAGCTCTGTGTAGACCTGCTTTTTCTCTACAATGACCATCTCCTCGGATGGTACATTTTGTCTACTGTGCCTATCTATGAACCTTCTGTGGCAACCATTTGATTGGAGGACAGAAGTAATCAGATCTACTTCTTCCGAAAGACTGTCATGTGTACAGATTCACCTTGCCCGTACAAAAAGCGTATTCACTAGTGTTCGTTTATGTTGGACCGGTGTGAAGCTGCGGAAGTTTAAGTATTGACCGGACCACGTGGATTTCCTACAGGCAGTTCTCTTAACCGAGCCATCATCTCGACGACTTATGAGTATATCTAGAAATGGCAGACGGCTGTTGACCTCAAATTCCCAAGTAACCCTCAAGTTAGTGTGACAACTATTCAGGTGTTAGACCAGGTTATCTATCACCTGTTTAGATCGACTGAATATCAATGTGTCGTCGACGTGACGCTTACAATATGACAAATTTCCTATCCCCGTAGCTAGCTGTTGTTCAGTTTTTATCATGAAAAGTTCGCTAAGATGGGACCCAGTGGACTTCCCATGGCTACTCCGTCTATTTGACGGTAGGACTGCTCGAGAAAGCAAAAACTGACATTCTCGGTACAGAGTAGCAAAGTTTCCCTCAATATGTCAGTCTGAAGTGGTAACGAAGTGTGACTCATTTCAACGAGCTCAAACATATAGTCAATCGTCTCGTGTAACGGAACATTTGTGAACAGTGACTGAACGTCTATAGAGCACATCAGTTCGTTAGCAAGATTGGTTTTGTTCAAGCCACTGACCAAATTAAAAGAATCCGTGATGGAGTGTACCTGAAATTTTTGTCTTAATGGCGTTAAAGCAGCGGCTACCCAGCGTGCCAACTGATGGCAAGAGGAGTTTCTCACTGCCAAAATTGTCCTAAGCGACGTCCCAGGCTTATGCTTCTTTAGTTGGCCGTAAAGCTGGGGTGTTGACGATCCACACGACTTGCGAGATATATATGTTACTTCATCATTAACCCTTAACTGTAAGAGCAGCTGAAGATGTCGTCCAATGCGATCCTCTATTTCAGTGATGTTATCCCTCTTCTCTATTCGCTGAAACTTTGTTTGGTAATCCAATATTGACAACATTTTCTGTACATATGCATATTTGTCTAGGATAATGACCCCAGATCCCTTGCGAGACCGTCACGTTGTACGCCACAGTACCAGTGTATATTTACTGATTCAACGTATCTGAGGTTTTCCGTAGACTGTGACTGATGTTGAACTCTGAATAGGTTAAAACCCCAGCTTATAGAAAAATTAGCTGAATCCTCGTAGTACACTGAATAACCTTGGAAGTTATGTTAAGCAGAAAGTAGTTTATCGTTGTCACTCGAGTTATCAACTTAATTTTTGTACACTATGACCTGTTCGCTAAATTCAATAGCTAGATACTCATAATTCCACAGATCTTGCTAGTAATATCTTCACTGAAGGAGTCCGCCCTGCCTGGGTACTTTTTCAGCACATATGCAAATAAGGTGTCACTGATGAGTTCAGGAAGCATACTGTTTAACCCATAACAGGCAATACTGCTTGCGTTCCTGGCCAGGCGGAACGGTGTTCTTCTTCATCCACCGCAGTCGCAGACCTTGACTATCGCCTACTATACACTGACTGCGAAGACACTAATTCGTTACTCTAGTTGTGTTATGAAGCAAGGCTTCTTGTTTTGAAAGCTAATAATATTCAGCATTTATATAGCATCATTGATAACGCGTGCCGTTGTTCTCTATTTATATGCAACTTCCATTTTGTTATCCTCAACCTACTGAAGTGAAACTCAACTATTTTTCAACAAGATTTGACCGTTTGTTTCAAAATGTCTGCTATCAGTTCGATACTAGAGAGAATGTCGTGAAAAACCAGGACGGTCGCATACGGATTGTATCTAGTATTTATACCGCCACAAATTCTAACGGTTCGTAATGTCAAATATATGTTTGGTCATCTCGGTGCTCAGGTTAAATGAGGTAGCGTGGCGGCAGCACGTTAGCCAAATCCGGACAGTACAGGGTGCGACAAAGACTAGGTTGACGCTTGGGCCACATAAATTAAGAGAAGGTATACCGAGCTCTTTAGCTCACGATGATAGGTTGTATATATCGAATCCTACAGTCATTAACAACTTTTATCATACATGGTCTAAAATGCCTGAATTTCGGACGGTAACCCTCAGTCTTCATGGAGCCAACAACGACGCATACTAACTTGAGTCAGAAGCAAACCTGACATAAAGTGTTGTATTGGTAATAGCCACGTCAAAGTTGATCACTCAGAAAGTCTCCGTCAAAACTGGTAAAAGATGACCTCTTTTTGCGAACTATTTTCCATAAATGTACACCTTTTCTACAAAAGTTGTTGATACCAGGGATGAAGTGCATACTCAATAACACATTTTTCGCAGGGCATTTTAGATGACAAAGGTGGAAAATCTGGACTTGGTCTCTGTTTGAACCAACGACGGAAACGGCGGGGCTAAACGCGGCAAGTGCTCTATCAGCTGGGCTACTAAGCAACACGGGAAGCTCAGTAGTTTTACTTGTTCTTTCAACTGCATCAGTTAGTCGCTGCATCGTCTTCCATTCACACATATTATCAGTGTCTGCATTGTTGTAATAATTTGACAAACAATACTTATGTACTGGGAAGAATGCAATAATAATCATCTGGTTATTGTATGTAACGATTAATTACAGTTTGACAGTATTTTGTGCAATGGGACATGTCGACATTTAACAGAATAGCTTAGTTTGTAAACATGTTTGTACCATAGGGGTTAAGCAATTAGATATGAACCATCGGCAGTAAGCTCAAGAATGTTACGTCTTAGTGCAAGTAGGTTACGTCTACTTTTATCAGTCGCGCTCAAACACAAGCTCTTTTCGTTGCCTTTTTTACGGGATTGTTGTATGTACGAACGTGGTGTACCACAACTTCCTCGCCCTTCGCACTTCATAATATGAACATCACTAGTGTGCACGCATGACCCGTTCGTGTTTTGAGTGTTAGGAAATCCGATGGAATACCCTGAAACACCAAACCATCAAGTCATGCAGGCAAAATTGACTGTTAACACTATTTGATCGAGCAACTAACATTTAAACCGAGGACTCTCACCAGGAGAAGTTACGTGTGTTGAAGAATACACTATGACAGGTTGGTAGCCGTGCCAATTAAGTTTCAAATTTAAAAACGCAGGCGAAATCTGATTGTAACCAGTCTTCAAAATGCTTGCATTCCCTCAACAGTCACATGCTGGAAATTTTTTGTATCGCCTACTTTAGTGGCGTCTTGTTACTTCCATCGACCGAACTTACAAAGTATGTCTTAAAAGATTGCTCTCTAGGACGCTTCCGATTTTAACACCATGTGTAGAACCATAGATGTGTTAATCACTGCAGCCTAGCATTTCCTGATAATGTCGATATAACAGTTTAGTTCCTGTGTGGACAGGACTGAATGCCAGGATTACGGGGCACATCCTGACATGGTCCAAACAAACTGTTATACAAAGCAGGATAAGATTGCACATCGCCTTTCGTAGACCACATTCTGTGGACGTAAGCAAAACCTTTCCTGCCAACCAAATTCAGCGGATTGTATTCAATTTCAGTCACGTTTCAGTCTACGTTTTACTGAAGCTGATGTTAATCCTTATGTTACGTATCTAGAAGGAACTGTTTTTGTTGACTTTTTGTCATAATCGTAACAACTCTGTTCACAAAAGCTTACATGTTTCCTCCTCTGCGCTCCACCGTTCCGTATAAATCTAGGATATATAGCTCTTTGTTGCCGTCATTGGCGTGTAAACTAATAGCGACTGCTTGTGAATAATTTATAGAAAATAGCAGACGCTTTACGCACGAGAAAAAAAACAACGTTTAGTATGTTGTTATTTATGCATTAATTACTTTGTATTACTAACGTGTAGTGTGGCAGATTTATGGTTTTAGATGAGACTCAACTGTGAAAAGTCAGGGCTTCGGTTGGATTCGAACCATCGACAGAAACACCATGCCTCAACGCAGCAGGAGCTCTACAAGCTGAGCTTCGAAGCCACGTCAGGAGCTCGGGAATTTCGCATCTGGACTCGGTTATTCACCCGTCCCAATGTTCGAGAAATCCTGCCGGGGCAGTGGATCCCCTGGATCATTTGGTGGATTCCATATGAGACAGTGAGACGGGTGGGTAACCAAGTCCAAATGTGAAATTTCCGAGCTCCTGGCGTGGCTTCGTAGCTCAGCTGGTAGAGCTCTTGCTGCGTAGAGGCATGGTGTTCCTGTCGCTGGTTCGAATCCAGCCGTTGGGTCTCATCTAAAATTAATTACTCTGTCGTGTAGCAGTTGGATGGTAGATAACCCCTCCCCTCCCCCTTCAAAGTTCAATGACTGTTTATTACTTCCATATATAATAAAGCATGTGTTTAGATATATCTCGAATACATTTATGGGTAAGCGTGGTCTCATTAACTGACACTAGCCTGACCTTTAAGGTTTGTTTACCATTCCTCAATGAACAGATAGCTTTCGGTGGAAATGATAATATTTAAAGAACCTACAGAAAAATGAGGTTTTCTGTCGTCTGTGTTTGCTGATAAAAACCGACTTATCGAGAAGATAAGAACCCACTTATTCCCAGAATGACCGCTATAAGGAACCCTCAGGGATGGGTTTGTTTATGCAGACAATATTTCAATGTTTGTTCTACCTAGTACTAGATATTAGATGGGTACGAGGTAAACAAACACACTAGCCATCAACCATCTGGAGTTTCTGAAGAAAATAATGATCTACACAATGGTTGGCAGTCAGATGTATGACTGATCACACTGAATGGATAAAATGACTGCAGCATGTATGCATTATTTCGGTACAATCATATCATGATAAGCAAACAGGTAGTTGGGGAGAATGGTTCATTCGGACATTCCCGTATGACCTAAATCTTTTCCTGGTCGTAATTAGGAGCAGTTGCATAATGCAAAACCTTCTTAAGGTTTGTGCATTTGTTGGACAATTCTATTCATATGAGAGGAGTTTAGTAAAGTTACCTAAACACATTTGACAATCGGCTTTCAAATTCCCGGAAGAAGCTCAATTGATGTTAACAAAATGGAGACGTCTTTCTTACAGAACGCCAAATTAATTGCTACCTTGTACTTATTGACCCAAATCTGGCTGTTCCGTTATCTAAGAATGACCTATACTGCTACCTTGGCGAGGTGGTCGGGCTTGTGTACTGTTTTGATCCGGCGGGCTATGCTGACTAGGACTCCGGTCCTTCCAGGTGCAACCTTGTCAGACGGCCAAAGGGGAGCAGTCAGACGAAAAGCAGTTATACTCATAGGATTGTATGTCGCACTACTGAC